AAAGAAAGAAAGAAAGAAAGAAAGAAAGAAAGATCAACTTTTAAATTTAAATTGTAAAATAATGTGGAAGAACAGCCACTCTTTGCAACCACTGTTAATTTGAATGTAGTTTATATAATTTCTACGTGCTTTTATTAAGTAGATTTTAGACTCGCTTGCGGTATTCATTACATTGAAGATACTTTACGCTTGACTTAGCCCAATAGCGAACAAGTTAAATTTTTCTGTAGATGGAGAATCCTCTGTTATATATTTTTTGTGCTGCTTTTGAGCCGATGGAGCCAGCATAACACTGGTACATAGAGAGACGGAGGCTCGATCATACTGGTTCAATTTGACCGTAAAAAAAATCTTGCCTCGACAAGAATAACTCGATCGGCTCAAAAACGTCACAAAACATTGAACAGAAGATTCTCCATCTACAGAAAAAGTTTAGTCTCGAAAATTTACCTCAGAAAGGAAATATAACGAAAAACGTATATCTTTCCMCTACGCTCTTTAGTAATTTTGCCCCCCAAACAATATGGCGTCGGAAACCGTGAAAGGGTTTATTGTAAGGTCTTTTTGTAGATCTCATCATCCTGCCACGTATGTAGTGTAAATGTTGTCGTGTTCAATAAACCAAACTGTGAAGTATCTTCAATTAAAAAGTTTTCCTTTATAGAAATTCTATTTTATTTATTGAGCATATTCATATGTTTATCTTTGTTAATTATTTGAATTTTAACAGGATATCGATTCAAGGATAATATTTGGTCTCCTTCAATTGACCACCTCCGTGATGTGTGAAGTAAGTAAGAATAGTTCAGTARGTAATATATTAATAACGAGTTCAGTGTTTCATTAGGGGTTCGACACAACGAGGAACTATTGGTTTAAAATATGTAGCATAAATTATAAGACTACAAAACTATAAACTATAGGGCGTGGTATGTCGGTAAAATGGTAGAAAATTTAGATAGTCTAATCATATCTAAAATCTAAACAAATAATCCCTCAATTAAAGCAAGAGTGTTACTTTTGGCACAAACTCATTATTCAGTCACAGCTATCTTAACATACTTTAACTCTCTCGTTCTAAAAAGGTAAAGTCATTTATATTCAAGAAGTGGAACGTGGAAAAGTGGAACAATTTAAAGGCCATTTTAAAATTTATTAGATATTTCAGTGGAACGAAACAAGTAAGGTTAGAGAATTCTTGATGTGGAGACAGYAGTAGTTTATAGAGCCAACTGGTTTTAGTTTTTCTTATATCAGCTTTTATTATGAAAGCGTATTGCAACGAATCTCTTGATCTTGGGCGTTATATTTTCTCATTTCAGACCACATGCCATTCTCTTGAGTACTATTATTTTTTCACAGTTGCACATGAGAAGRCACATGAATATGGATACAACTAAAACAAAATATCTTATTTGCAATAGAATGACACGTGGTCTGATATGGGATAACATTACGCTCAAAGGTTACACAACGGCAGAGATGAGGGTACCCTACAGAGATCAGTACACTACAAAATAAATAATTTGATTATTTTTTATTTTCGTTATAAAGATTTTCAAACTTAAAATGTATGGAAGACAGTACGCATGGCTGATTGACACGCCAGATAAACACGGATGGTGGCAGCGGACTTACAAAAAGACAAATTGTACACAAGAAGAGATTAGTGAAGCTGCTAACCACGTGATCACAATTAATAACATGAATATTAGCAGATCAACAAAAAAAGGCATTTCGGGTCTGGTAAGTAAGTTATTCTAGTCTGTATAGGATTTCACAAAGTATTTCAGGGGCTTTTATAACAAGATAAAAATTAAAGTGTTTGTTGGTTGTGCTTATTTTCATACTGTTTCGACCGATTCTAGTTTATTCTGCATGCAAATTATTTTTGTTTTGGTAGAAGTATAAGCCTTGCTGCTGGTCAGTACTGACTCATTATGTCCCCGTCACTTGGGGAAATCTTGCGCCCAGAATGCTAATCGCCCAATGTCGTCGGTTCTTTATATCAACTAACGCTAAAAAGGGCGGACACTGTAGGTTAAGAAAGCATCTTAAACAGTTAAGATTGAATCTGATAGCACTTTGCAGCATTTGGGGGAGGGAGTTTAGTAAGAAAAACYGGCGGTTCAGCCGAAGAGCGGCATTCAATCAATAAGTTATCAATGGATGTTTAGTGGTGGTTTCCAAAAACTCTATTTAATTCATATTTCCTGCATTTTAAGGACAAACACTAGTTTTAAACAATTTYATTTAACTGAGCGTAAACTAGAAAGTAGTTTCACAAATGGGGGTTTCTATAAAAACAGAAGTTAAACACCTCTGKGATCCGCTTACTTAAAGCAGAGGTTCGTTTACAATTGCATTTAGCTCTAGTTTCTCTTAAGGCATGACTTTTTGTCACGATTTCTCATCAGACCCCAAAGCAGTTTCAAGACCGATACGAATTATACGCAAAGGAAAGGAATAGTATTGTGTCGGAATATGGAACCTTCGCATTTGATGCTGCATGGCTTATGGCTCTTGCCCTCAACAAAACTGAAAACGAGCTGAGACCAGGCAGAAATTTGAGTCAGTTCTATTACAAGGACAGGTCGATGGCCTTGATGATAARAAAAAATCTTATACAAACTGGATTTCGAGGCGTTACGGTAAGAGAAAATCATTTGCTAATTCTTGGATGGTATGCCATCATGCATGATCACTAGGCTAAATTCGGTAATACTACATCTAGAAATTCAATTCCTAAATATGTTTTCGGAAATGAAATTTTAAGCCTACTTGGAAAATATCAGTTTAGTAMTATGCTTCGCATTTGAGTTACGATGCTTTTTATTTCGTTGTAACTCCGCGGGCTCCCTGTGTTTTTGTCGTATCAGGAATATCCACTATTTGAACAAACAYAATCCATTAAAATGTTATTTGAACAAACATTAACCTTAAAAAAGCAAATGTTATATAATACTTTATTAGAGAATAGTTAATATCTATACGTTTTTGTAAATCGTCGACCCACCATCTTACTGATGTCCAGCCATCCATCATCATGACGGGCATGTACATTTTTTCCAGAATTAATCATTAATTTATTTTGAAATAACACCTTGAGCTCAGCATATTGGTGTAACGGAAGGAAAATGTGACAAATTATTTATACTAGTCTGTCTTTTATTAGATTTTAAAAATAAGATCGTTCTAAATTTTTGATTTGAGAGACGCCRGTCCTGAAGAAAAGAATCCTTCTTACAAGTTTGTTCTAATGTACAACTTCTTGTCTTTCTTGTAAATAGATTGATATCAATGTTTGATCAGTCAAAACCCTAGATAATGTGTTTCCATTCAAAGCTTTAATCATTAATGTTAACGTCAATAGGGAACGGTGCAACTGCAAGGAAACGGAGACAGATATGGACATTTTGAAGTATCTCAAATCCAAGGTAAAGAATCATTTCCCTCTGATTGACTTTTTGCATTAGCAAATACGTACCATTAAAGCTTTTTTTCTAGTATCATATACAGCTCTTATATAGATTTGAATGTTTTAMAAGATCATAAGTACGTACACTCAGTGAACCATTTCATTTTTCGGTCCGTACCGTAAGTTATGGAYCGCAAATTGACCAATAATAGCGCGTGAAAYTACCTTGCCATATAATAATAGCAAATACGTACCACTAAAGCTTTTTTCCGGTGTCATTTACAGATGGGATTTTGCGTGTGATAGGAACACATAACGTCTTAACCAACAATTTTACCTTGGATGCTGGGATGGACTTTATTTGGAAAGGTACGTCGTTAACAGAGGGGGTCTGTAAATCAGTATCGACCAGAGGTGTGCAAAATGAAAAAATTCTCAAACTTTGCCAGAAGATAGATCTCGGTGATTTTTTCATGAAAAAATAGAAAAAGGTTCATCAGATTTTTATTTTAAGCGAACGGTAACATTTTTAATTTCGCGACCCAAATAGCATAATTTACTGGCCTTTCACATGCATGCACAAAAAATAAAAAATAAATAAAACTCAAAGCGAAGACTTCGAAGTTACCGAAAGTCATCTCTTCAATATAATAATAATAAAAAKTACATCACTCACCCATTCACTCTTCGTGGTAAAATGACTGTGCGAATTGAACAGTATATTCTTTTTAGTGTAATATGTACTGATTTCACGAGTTTAGTGACTTCACTGTATTATCATTTTTATTCTTTCTTACTTTTAGGTGGCTTTCCGCCATCGGACCGATTAATAGTTGTTCCGCGATTAATCGGTTTTCCTGTTGTTGGTTTTATTGTAATTTGCTGCATTGCAGTTGGTGGAGTTATTTTGTCACTAGTGTTTCTCTATTGTAATATTGCTTATCGCCAAAAAAGGTAAGTGCTTATTTTAATTTGTAAGTTTATAATTATTTAATGACATTTTGACCCCCGTTTAACTTCGAAATTAACACATATTCAGGATCAATTGAGCTTTAAATAATCATTTATTGATTTATAAAACTTCAAATGCTATCAATCCTGCGACAACTGCACCTCTGGGTTACTTGACTTAAGTAAGTCAGGACATGGCTAATTCATGTAAAGTTCAGACCCTGACATAACCTCTGGGCTGATCAAAGGCAGGTCAAGGCTTACTCACAAATTGAATTGTAATTTTTCTTGAGGCATTTGATAGAATTAAACAAGTTTCGTTTCCTCTAAAAAGAATCAACTCCTGAATAGTCGCATTATTGAAAAGTTCGTCAATTCCAAGTTGGGAYAGTAAACACTCAATAGGGAAACAAAAACTGGGGCCATCCTTACGATAACTATCGTAATTATAAGAAGGTGTTCTGGACACTAAAGAAAAACGTTTGTGTGTGCGTGAATTTCAGCAAGTTTTCTAAGAAGTTAGAAGGTTTGAGTGAAAAAATAAATGTTTGTTTTCTCCAATTATACCAAAAAAAAATCGCGAGTATACTCTTGTTAGACCAAGATATTGTATAACAAACACAATATAAAAGAGTAAGTTTCTAGTATAAACACTTAAGTTAAGTTTTGGCATTTTGTGGAGCTCAATTTTTGAGGCATGTTTGAAAGCCAAATTTACATATTTTTACAATAGCATGAAGAAGTTTTGACTAATTTGCATATGCATTTAGAGCATACAGACATTTAGTCAGTTGTTTTTCTGTACTGTATTTGTATTTAAAAGGACCTCTCTGAAAAACACCTTGGTGATGTGAGCCTCCTGCTTAAACATTGTTAYTATTTGTCGTAGGTTCATTAAAATGTCCAGCCCAAACATCAACAACCTGATCATAGCAGGTTGCATTGTCGCATATTTATCGGTCATATTATTTGCTGTTGACGGAGAACACTTAACAAGTCTAGTATGTCAGGTATGTTCAGTTCCTCTATTACTGATAGAATATTTAAGATATAATGCGCGCGCTGAAATTAGCTGTTGTATGAAAGGACAGAGACACGCTTGCGCAAAAATCGTTCAAAAATATTTTATACGCCTCGTGTTCCTAAACTTGCTTCTCTCTTGCTCTACAGCTCCCAGCGTGACACAGTACAGAGACATGTGCGTGCGCTTTATATTATTTCTTTACAGTGYTAATCGAAAAACCATAGGCAAGAATGTTTCTTAACCAATTAGAAGCGTTATTGTTATCTTTCCGTTATCTTGTGGTTAGAAAGTTTAAAATTTAGTTAGAAATATTTGTAGGCGTCCACGGTTTTTCGATTCGCACTGTAATGAGTAAACCCTCTAAATAGACATTATTACTGTTTTCCAATTTGCTAATTTACTAGTAATACTTTAAAGAGGATGAAACTAATTCAAGGCATCTCATTCAAAGGCGAATACCACGCGGTTTACAATATCTAAAACACAGTCATTAGGTTTTTTAGGGATTAATAGCAAGCAATTCCTTTCCAAAATAGTAAGAAAAGAATGGTTGGGGATTGGGATTTCAACGGTCGCAGGTTCAAATCCTGCAATATCCCGATGTTTGTTTGTTTGTTTTTCACTTTTTCATCCTACTCATATTTCTTTGAGCCATCATCACTTTASTGCTCGATCAAATTTGTTGTGAGAAACGGTACTGACCTCAAACACGTTAGTCCACTCGAGTTCACAGTTCCGCGGGACAAAAAAAAAAACCATTAAGGTTACTGGAGACCTTCAGGGGTATGTTTCGTTTAAGACTCTCTCTTCACAACTGTTTAAACAAAACCCCATAAAAATATATGTCGTTTTAAATGTCATATAATAAAGATTTAGAAAATGATATTATTTGAAAGCGATTTTTTAGTTTGAAACAATGCCGCAGCCTTAAACACAAATCGGGCACGTTCAGTAGAGGTGAATTAATGGACATGGATTTAGCGCGTATAGCAAAAAGAATTTCACCATGTGAATAAGCAAAAGATAAACTACAAAAGGTTGTATGCAGATTCTTTTGGCAATACAAACTAACGCTATTTCCATTAATTCACCTCTACGGATCGTGCCCGTTTTGTGTTTAAGGCTCGGCATTGTTTCAAATTAGAAAATCACTTTGRAATAATATTATTTTCGAAATCTTTATCATATGACCTTTAAAACGATATATAGTATTAGGGGGTTTTGTTGAACGTGTTGCGTAGAGAGAGTTTAAGAGAAACATACTCCTGATTCAAGGGCAGTTCCACTTAGCTAGTTTTAGCGGCGGTCCTGTTTTTTAATGATTTGTATGTGATTCTAATAAGTTACAACCGGTTGTTTTCCTTAGGTCAGGCTGGTTACACTGAATATCAGTTTTACACTGGCTTTTGGAGCAATGTTTATCAAAACATGGAGAGTTCATAGAATTACAAGAAAAATACGCAACAAAAGAAGGGTTTGTATTCATTKACTGAAATCAGTTGACTTTTTACGTAGAAAATGAAAGAAAAACGTCCCGTGAAATTTCACACTCTGTGTTGACACCTCAACTTTTGGTTTAGTTGTATGAATTGATCAGGATGCATGGGCGCACAGAATGGTTCCATGCCAGGTGGTCTGCGTACTAAGCGTACTATGTATCTCCATAGTTGGTATCTTAGGGCGGGAACTAGCTGTTAAAAATGCACCTTTTCCACAATAATACACACTCATTYGTATTAAAGAGAATTGATTGTTTASCTACGCCTGTTGCGATTATTATCAACCTCTTGTGTGCCTTCAAACCTCGATATATTGAAAAGCTGATCAATTTCWTCAACAGGTTATCCAGGACATTCATTTAGTTGGCTTGGTGGTTATATTTCTAATAATTGACATCGTTATCTTGACCACTTGGCTGATCATCAATCCATTACAAAAWGATTACAGATGGTTTGATCTAAAGGTGAGCAGCCAGAATAATTGAAGAAGAATACTACTGAAGCAATACTATTTAATAGACCTCTTTAGCTTGGGCGTAATGATTTCTCATTTCAGACCATGCATATGTCATTTCCTTGATTATAAGATTATTTGAGACCKTTAAGCAAAGAAATGATACTCTACTGGCTGACACGGAAAAAACATCACGCCTAAGCTAAAGAGGTATATTTAAAAATCATTAAGAAGCGTCTTGGTTTTCAACAATAAACAAATATCCCCATAAAACAAGTACAAAAAAATCTAGGTGAAGTACGAAATTATTTCCTCTGAAATTCAGATAAAATTTATCGTAAAACAGGCACTTTAGAAGAGCATATTCAATAATTCATAGCTGTAAATAATGATTAATCAAGCATTAACGCCCAATACTCAATAAATATTATTGTTTAAAAAATGACAACAACAAAAAATGAGAAAGATCATGGATCATTATGGATCATGTATGATTTTTACACTATCATAATGGTCAATACGTCGGAATGCAGCTCAATTTGGAGGAAATARGTATAGGTTTCCAATTTTCATATTGTTAAAATTTCTTCAGTTTTGTTTTCCAAATTGAGCTGTATCTGACGTCACATGCAAATGGTCTATAAAACCGTTAACAGACACGGCAACATATTACCATTCAAACCATCATTGTTTATTAAACCATCACAATTTATTGAACTTAACCTTATCTTTTAGCAGGATACCAAGCCAAGCAATTCTGCTGTTATCTACAGACAAAAAATAGCTTACTGTCGTACGACAAATGTGCTTCTATGGCTGGTGGTCGTGTATGGCTCTAAAGCTTTGTTGCTTTTATTTGGCTTGTTTTTGGCTTGGGAGACAAGGAAGATAAAGATCAGCGCATTAAATGACTCCCAGCATATAGGTAAGTAAAATATATATAAAAGGTTCAGTCAGTCAGTCAGCAATTTTTTCATATTTGTAAAAAGATGTAAAGGATTCCTAAAAAAAAAAAAGCTTGATTACCAGTAACGTTTCGTAGAAAAAAATTTTATCGCTTCTTTTTCTTCAAAAGCYGGCATTTTTGTTGTTATTCCTTAGGTATGGCTGTCTATAATGTAGTCATAGTGTGTATTGTTGGAGTACCAATCATTCAGCTTCTTAACGATGATATGTACGAGGTGTCCTTTATCATCACCACCTTCTGCATCATGTCCTGCACAACTTTGACCCTTTGCTTGGTTTTCGTACCAAAGGTATATTTTATGCAATGAAGTTTTGTTTTTAGTTGGAAGCGTACATTTCCTCATCAGAGGCATTTTTAGAAGAGGGTCGAAACGACAGACGTTGTCTTAGTTTACATGCCCAATTCGTTATTTGTATCTCATTTGCATTATGATAATTTTAATGTTTATATCTCTGAAAAGAGAAGACCACATACAAAAGTACTGCAACYATACTACAACACTGTTCACAAATCAGTGATTTTGACAATATATGTTTCCTTGATATACACTTTAATTTTAGTCAATATATCGCATTTGTGTAGATCTGATCACGTGATAAACCAGTACTAAGCAAGATGGCGGACCGGAGTGTAGATAACGTGAAAATGTTTATTGAAATTGTCAACATGTCTAAGTAGCTTGCTGCGAGTGCTTTCATTGTTGAGTGGAGAATGACCTTTACGGACTTGCCCCATTCATTGGATGATTATGTCGCGTTTCTACATTGATGAGACCAGTAAAATAATGTTCGATTTAAAGATATCATATTTATTTTGTTAATTAATTAATTAGTTAGCATTTATAGTTAGTGTTAAGACATCATAAAGATATCTTTATCACGAAGGCATGTATTTTTGTATATGAAACAAGGTAAGAAAGCTTCTCAAGTCAACCGCTGATGAGATATTCTCGGATAATGGCATATCTTTCGCGTCACGCATGGAGAGCAAACGAGCTAATTGTACCTGTGATTGTCATGTTCAAGATCTTGTWAAGAAAAGCCCACGCATCCTAGGAAGCAACGCTGTAAAACAGGTATGCACACTTATCTATGCGCAAATTGAGAATGGAAAAAAAGAGAGAAGGGAAAAAAACCAAACAAAGAGACGGACAGGCAAACAAACAAACAAACATTTACACAGACAGACAAATAGACAGACAGACAGACAGGCAGACAGGCAGGCAGGCAGACAGACAGACAGACAGACAGACAGACAGACAGACAGACAGACAGACAGACAGGCAGGCAGACAGACAGACAGACAGACAGGCAGAAAGTAAATATTCTTGCCTTCTGTAGTATCCCTGAATCAGTTGTGTTGGCTCACATTACCTGCTACTATATCATGAAACATATGTCCAGTTTAATTTTTTTTTTTAATATTATTTTTTTATAGAAAAAACAAGAGACAAAAGAGACAAATATCCTCGATCACCGCAACATAAAAACCAAGCCAAGTTATGTTATCTAAAACCAGCCTTTGCAAAATGGTTATATCATTAGTATACACTGTGTTTAGAATTACTAGCTAGAGATATTCAAAAGGCTAACTAACAAGCAGAAGAAAAGAAGAGAAAAATTTAAGAAAATGAACAATCGTGAAGATGGATATTTATTTAAATAGTAAATAGTTATTTAAATAGTTTAATAGAWGATCATAGTGCATGTGATATGCGGTCAAAAAAGAAGCACGAACTTTTCAACAACAAAAATTCAACAACAACAGCAACGTAAAAAATGCCCAATTATATAAAGGTTGCAACTTTGATTAGAGTTATTAGTTATCAAGCAAACCTAAATAATGCCAAACATACTTTTAGGAGTGAGTATAGTGATTGTGCAAGACATTCCTTCCAAAAGTCATTGAGAGGGTAGATATACACTGATTTATGTCACTATAATAATGTTATTGGATAATAACGAAATAAATAAACTCTATTCCGCTCCAAAAACTACAAACAGTTCCTCTCTTCCTAAAACCTAACTTTCTAAATTCCAATTCAGTCGGTGAGTTAGCCATGCCGACTTAGATCAGCCCAGAGCTCGTTTCAGGGTATGTATCAATAAATTTTGCAGGACCGAAACTGTTTCGCTGTTAGTTCGAATTTTTTTTCTTTTTTTTTTTTTTTCTTTTTCCATTACTGAGCCTTATGTAAAAGCAAAATTAAAAATAAACACAACAAAAAAGGAAAAGCAGCAAAACAAGCAAACGAAAAACTAAAAGCTAAAAACAACAACAAAACAACAACAAAAAAGATAAAAGAAAAACAAACAACAAAAACACATAAATCGCCAGTTTTACGATAAGTCTTTAGTACAGGCGGGATYTCTTATGAAGGGACCAATTTTTAGGTTAATTGTGCCCCTTCCAAGCAATCCTGTAAGCAGTAATTAATTCTCGATTGAAAAATGACGTCTACCAGGGGTCAAAAACAAACATCGTTTTGGTGTTACTTTCTTTATTCGGGACAATGGTCCAGGTCGTTGTTTATTTAAAAAAATATTTCTAGTTTTGGCTTTGCCTAGAAGTGCAGAAAACCTGGCTTTTGGCTCATAATCTATATTTATAGTGAGGTTTCATCTTTTTTGATGTAATAATGTGAACATTCACTAATTGATTGTAGTAAGAAAGCAGTGGCGTATCTACAGACCGTTTTTTCGAGGTTGCGTGCGCATCCAACAGTTTTATATTTAAAGAGGAGAATAATTGTTTTTATGAATTCATTTCGAAAAAAAAAAATATCAAAGCAATGCATGATAATACTCGTGTTCTAGTATCGTGGGCCGTCAAGTTCCTTAAAATTGGATGCACACGCAACTTTGAGAAAACGGTCTATTCATATATACTTAAGTTTTTGTACGTCCTTATAATCATAATTGTGCAACCCTTCCTAAAATTCCTTGATCCGCCCTTAGAAAGTAGCCAAAAAATAATCTGATTGTGGTAAACAAATGCCTCATTTATAGACAATCAAAAAAAGAMGAATGACTTAAAAAAGGTCGTAATAAATTCCTAACCTTTGTAATTGATGWATTTGTAACAGCTCACCTATTTAAGTAGATCAGTGTCAAAATACTTCTAATAATTGTAGTTTGCATTTGCATTTGTGTTTCAGGTTTTGTTTTTCTATGGCCATATATGCAATTGCCCAATAAAAGATATTATGGCCCATTTTCCAGCTACCATTAGTTAACAAATTGTTTGCATCATTGAACCGATCAGTCCCAGCAGCCAGTTCTCAAATAGTACGCGTCAGGGTTTAAAACTGCTTTTCCAAGTTGGTCTAGGTCTAAGAACTGACGCGCGTGCCAWCATAGTTAATGGCCGTGGAATGGTTTGGAAACTCAATTGAATAAAGGTATTGTTTTGCTTTTGAGGTTGAACCTTACCATCACGTGATACTGACCGCGCACAACGAACCAAAGCAAGTATAGCTGAAAATACTGATTTCCTTATTATTTTCATGTTCGAACATTATGAAAGTGGAAAAAAACATTAACTATGGTGCCATTTAAGAACRAACCGCTGGAACCGATTGGTTCGCTTAATAGAAAGCGTTCTATGTCAAAATTCAATCCCCAAATGGACATTCCCAGTAATGCATGTAACAATAGATTTTATTCCCCGTAGGGGTGAATAGAGTTGACACTCCTTTACAGATGCACCTATATAGGATATTACCAGTGGTGTTTAGTTTACCGAAATTATATTCCGCCGCTCCATTTGTTGAACACGTTGAACCAACAATCCTTTTTCCCTATAATATTATACAYGCAAATGTTAACGTTTAATGCGTTACAAACAATCAGAAAGTCATTATCCTTTCTGAAGTTGAAAAATGCTTAGCATCGTGGGGTTGTTTAGGGGACGCATAAATACTTGTATATATATGGCGTCGTTTGCTGGTAGCRAAAATATGAACAAACCTTGATTGCCGTGTTGATTTAGTCAAAGTTTTTTCGTTTTTAAGTTTTTTCGTTTTT